TGATGTTTGTTGTTCTCGTTTTAATTGGTCATGCTAAGAAAGATGCCCCAATTCCGAAATGGATCCTTGCCACTGTTGCAAACTCTGATGATTCCATGTCTTTCCCATGGGGGACATGGGCATTCCTGGAGTCCCTTCGTATCCAATCTTTGGGGAAGGACTTAGTTTCAGAAAAAAAGAAACTTGTCAAAGGCGGGAAAACATCAAACACCCTCCGATACACTGGCTTTGTCCTCCCCTCATCCGTGAGTAAATTAATTTAAATTGATACTAAAAGTTCCTATAAGGAGATGGCTAAATTGGGCTTCATTTATTGCTGAATGCAGTTTCTCCTATTTGAGTGCATTAATGATTTTGGAGAGACATTTGGAGTGAAGATGGAGCAAACAAATCCAGCACTTCCGAGAATGTGTCTCTGGAAAAATAATATTTCAAAAAAGCCGTCGCACGGAGCCATAATCAATGCACTAAATGCTGCCAAGGTAAGGTCTAAAGTTTAAAGAGCAAGGTCGACTTAAGGTGAAAATCGACCTAATGATCTTTAAAGTTAAAGTCGACTTAAGATGTCTTTAATGTGAAGGTCGACTTCATGATCTACAATCATTTTTTAAATATGCTCTTTCTTTTGTAGAGTGTTAGGAGCATTCTTCTTCCAGAAGGAAGTGAAATACGTGCCCCTTGGATCACCAGTCTGACTTCCTTGCCTTCTGTTTCCAATCCAAAACTTGGAGAATTCGTTAGGGGAATCCAAGGTGGTGACAAGCATATTCAATTATGCATGAAAAAACAACTTCTGGCCCAAGCAAGTGAAGATGAAGTTGCTGTAGGAAGGAATTCATCATCAGATGAAGTTCACTCTTCAAGTGAGGGGTCAGAAGTCCCCTCCAAAAAGTATGTCCTTAGGAGGAGAAAAGTATCAAAGCCGTGCACCCCACATGAAAAGGCTGAGCACAGACCTCTGTTGGAAAGGACAACCAATATCAAGGCTTCATCTTTAAGTGGAAATTCTAGTCAAATCTTGCCTAATTCACTGAAAGATTACATTGATGGTAAATTTTCTGTACTTCAAAAGATGCTATGTCAGGAGGTTGAAAATTTCTTGGAAAGAAAATTTCAGACACTAGAAGAAAGAATTCTCTTAACCTTACTTGCATCCTCAAAGGGAAGGACTGCAGAAGCGAAGGAATACAATAAGAAGAAAGAAGAGGTGGTGGAAGTGAATGAGGTCGACCACTCTATACATGAAGGGGTGGACCATAATGAAGATGGGAAGGAAGATGAGAAGGTCGACCCCCCTTGTTTTGAATGGGTGAACCATAAAGAAGATGCTATTAAAGATGGGAGGGAAGAAGAGCCGATGGGAGAGAATAAGGTCGACCCCTATAGTTTTGACGGGGTTGACCATAATGAAGAGGAAAAAAATGATTGGAAAGAAGAAGATGGGAAGGAAGGAGATGGGAAGGAAGAAGATGAGCCTATTGCAGACAATATGGTCAAGCTCTTTAGTTTTGAAGGAATTCCTGAAGAGAAAGATGAAGAAGAGGTTGACCAATTTAAAGTAAAGAATAGGTCTCCACCAATCCAGGTAACTTGGTCGACCCCATTCGTCGATCTTTTTTGTTTCGATGATTTTTATGGTCGCCAAAGTATGTTCTTATGTTTTGAACCTTTTGTAAAGCATTATGTTTCCAATTGTCAGGAAGAAGAAGAGGAAAAGCTTGCAGTTGAGGGAGAGGCCAATGAAAATGAGATGGCAATGAGTGATAAAATTGTCCATGATGTTTTTGAATTCTGCAAATCAACTGAAAACAATGTTGATAAGGTAATAAACTTATATTCTGATATTTTCATTTGTGATCCTCCCTAATGCTTATTCCTTATAAATTCTGAGTAGAAAGTTGAGTTCGATGTTGACGTCTTGAGAAAACTGACAGATGTGGATGAAGTCGCTGCTGCACGGGTACGATTTAATTTGAGTATTATTGAATTAAACTTACTTATCCTTGACATATTACTTTCAACATCCAGGAATTGGGTCGAGGTCTCCGGGAGAAGAAACGAAGTATTCATATATCGAGCCCCTACTTCAGCAATGTACTTAAAAAGGTAAAGGTTATTAATAGTGATGTATCAAATGAGCTGGATAAAGCCGAAGAAGAGCAACTCAACATACGAAGGAACCCATCTAGCCAACAACTTGAGGCCTTCCATCAATTCATGCAGTCGGCAATTGCTGACGGGAGAGAAGTTCAGTGTATCATGGAAAAGAGGGGAGAGTCCCACGGTATTGTTAAGAAGTGGTGGAGTTCCTTGATGGAATCCGGCGGCTGGTTGGAGACCACGGTAATATAAGTTAATATTAGTATTACTCCGTATATA